TATTTCGCGAACGCTAGGCCCTTGTTCTTGATTTTTTGCACACGCTAGGCCCTTGTTCTTGCAACTTTGCACACGCTAGGCCCTTGTTCTTGCAATTTTGCACACGCTAGGGCCTTGTTCTTTTTATTTTGCACACGCTAGGCCCTTGTTCTTTTTATTTTGCACATGCTAGGCCCTTGTTCTTGCTACTTTGCACACGCTATGCCCTTGTTCTTTTTAATTTGAACACACTAGGCCCTTGTTCTTGCTATTTCGCGAACGCTAGGCCCTTGTTCTTGATTTTTTGCACACGCTAGGCCCTTGCTCTTGCTATTTTTCACTCGCTAGGCCCTTGTTCTTGCAACTTTGCACACGTTAGGCCCTTGTTCTTGCAATTTTGCATACGCTAGGCCCTTGTTCTTTTTATTTTGCACACGCTAGGCCCTCGTTCTTTTTATTTTGCACACGCTAGGCCTTTGTTCTTGCTATTTTGCACACGCTAGGCCCTTGTTCTTTTTATTTTGCACACGCTAGGCCCTTGTTCTTTTTATTTTGCACACGCTATGCCCTTGTTCTTTTTATTTTGCACATGCTAGGCCCTCGTTCTTGCAATTTTGCACATGCTAGACCCTTGTTCTTTTTACTTTGCACACGCTAGGCCCTTGTTCTTGATTTTTTGCACATGCTATGCCCTTGCTCTTGCTATTTTGCACTCGCTAGGTCCTTGTTCTTGCAATTTTGCACACGTTAGGCCCTTGTTCTTGCAATTTTGCACACGCTAGGCCCTTGTTCTTTTTTTTTTGCACACGCTAGGCCCTTGTTCTTGCTATTTTGCACATGCTAGACCCTTGTTCTTTTTATTTTGCACACGCTAGGCCCTTGCTCTTGCTATTTCGCGAACGCTAGGCCCTTGTTCTTGATTTTTTGCACACGCTAGGCCCTTGTTCTTGCAACTTTGCACACGCTAGGCCCTTGTTCTTGCAATTTTGCACACGCTAGGGCCTTGTTCTTTTTATTTTGCACACGCTAGGCCCTTGTTCTTTTTATTTTGCACATGCTAGGCCCTTGTTCTTGCTACTTTGCACACGCTATGCCCTTGTTCTTTTTAATTTGAACACACTAGGCCCTTGTTCTTGCTATTTCGCGAACGCTAGGCCCTTGTTCTTGATTTTTTGCACACGCTAGGCCCTTGCTCTTGCTATTTTTCACTCGCTAGGCCCTTGTTCTTGCAACTTTGCACACGTTAGGCCCTTGTTCTTGCAATTTTGCATACGCTAGGCCCTTGTTCTTTTTATTTTGCACACGCTAGGCCCTCGTTCTTTTTATTTTGCACACGCTAGGCCTTTGTTCTTGCTATTTTGCACACGCTAGGCCCTTGTTCTTTTTATTTTGCACACGCTAGGCCCTTGTTCTTTTTATTTTGCACACGCTATGCCCTTGTTCTTTTTATTTTGCACATGCTAGGCCCTCGTTCTTGCAATTTTGCACATGCTAGACCCTTGTTCTTTTTACTTTGCACACGCTAGGCCCTTGTTCTTGATTTTTTGCACATGCTATGCCCTTGCTCTTGCTATTTTGCACTCGCTAGGTCCTTGTTCTTGCAATTTTGCACACGTTAGGCCCTTGTTCTTGCAATTTTGCACACGCTAGGCCCTTGTTCTTTTTTTTTTGCACACGCTAGGCCCTTGTTCTTTCTATTTTGCAAACGCTATGCCCTTGTTCTTTTTATTTTGCACACGCTAGGCCCTTGTTCTTGCAATTTTGCACATGCTAGACCCTTGTTCTTTTTATTTTGCACACGCTAGGCCCTTGTTCCTGCTATTTCGCGAACGCTAGGCCCTTGTTCTTGATTTTTTGCACACGCTAGGCCCTTGCTCTTGATTTTTTGCATACGCTAGGCCCTTGTTCTTTTTATTTTGCACACGCTAGGCCCTTGTTCTTTTTATTTTGCACACGCTAGGCCCTTGTTCTTGCTATTTTGCACACGCTATGCCCTTGTTCTTTTTATTGTGCACACGCTAGGTCCTTGTTCTTGCAACTTTGCACATGCTAGACCCTTGTCCTATTTATTTTGCACACGCTAGGCCCTTGTTCTTGCTATTTCGCGAACGCTAGGCCCTTGTTCTTGATTTTTTGCACACGCTAGGCCCTTGCTCTTGCTATTTTGCACTCGCTAGGCCCTTGTTCTTGCAATTTTGCACACGCTAGGCCCTTGTTCTTGCAATTTTGCACACGCTAGGCCCTTCTTCGTTTTATTTTGCACACGCTAGGCCCGTGTTCTTTTTATTTTGCACAAGCTAGGCCCTTGTTCTTGCAATCTTGCACACGCTATGCCCTTGATCTTTTTATTTTGTACACGCTAGGCCCTTGTTCTTGCAATTTTGCATATGCTAGACCCTTGTTCTTTTTATTTTGCACACGCTAGGCCCTTGTTCTTGCTATTTTGCACATGCTATGCCCTTGTTCTTTTTATTTTGAACACGCTAGGCCCTTGTTCTTGCAATTTTGCACATGCTAGACCCTTGTTCTTTTTATTATGCAAATGCTAGGCCCTTGTTCTTGCTATTTTGCGAACGCTAGGCCCTTGTTCTTGCTATTTTGCACACGTTATGCCCTTGTTCTTTTTATTTTGCACACGCTAGGCCCTTGTTCTTGCTATTTTGCACATGCTAGACCCTTGTTCTTTTTATTTTGCACACGCTAGGCCCTTGCTCTTGCTATTTCGCGAACGCTAGGCCCTTGTTCTTGATTTTTTGCACACGCTAGGCCCTTGTTTTTGCAACTTTGTACACGCTAGGCCCTTGTTCTTGCAATTTTGCACACGCTAGGGCCTTGTTCTTTTTATTTTGCACACGCTAGGCCCTTGTTCTTGTTATTTTGCACATGCTAGGCCCTTGTTCTTGCTACTTTGCACACGCTATGCCCTTGTTCTTTTTAATTTGAACACACTAGGCCCTTGTTCTTGCTATTTCGCGAACGCTAGGCCCTTGTTCTTGATTTTTTGCACACGCTAGGCCCTTGCTCTTGCTATTTTGCACTCGCTAGGCCCTTGTTCTTGCAACTTTGCACACGTTAGGCCCTTGTTCTTGCAATTTTGCATACGCTAGGCCCTTGTTCCATTTTATTTTGCACACGCTAGGCCCTCGTTCTTTTTATTTTGCACACGCTAGGCCTTTGTTCTTGCTATATTGCACACGCTATGCCCTTGTTCTTTTTATTTTGCACACGCTAGGCCCTTGCTCTTGCTATTTTGCACTCGCTAGGCCCTTGTTCTTGCAATTTTGCACACGCTAGGCCCTTGTTATTGCAATTTTGCACATGCTAGGCCCTTGTTCTTGCTATTTTGCACACGCTATGCCCTTGTTCTTTTTATTTTGCACACGCTAGGCCCTTGTTCTTGCTATTTTGCACTCGCTATGCCCTTGTTCTTTTTATTTTGCACACACTAGGCCCTTGTTCTTGCAAATTTGCACATGCTAGACCCTTGTTCTTTTCATTTTGCACACGCTAGGCCCTTGTTCTTGCAGCTTCGCGAACGCTAGGCCCTTGTTCTTGTTTTTTTGCACACGCTAGGCCTTTGCTCTTGCTATTTTGCACTCGCTAGGCCCTTGTTCTTGCAATTTTGCACACGCTAGGCCCTTGTTCTTGCAATATATAAATCTAGTGACCTAATAAGGTTCGAAAGGAATCTAATGCATATGTATATGGAAAATGGTGTATTGGCCAGGTCGGTCAGTATGGGAACTTAGAGTACAAATGCTAGGGAGAAAGGAAGCGCTCAGATCTTGCATCGTACACGGAATCTAGTGGTCTCACTCAAATAGAAGGTAGGAAATAAATTCATCTAGTGAACGTAAGGGTTTGAAAGGTAACTAACGCACATGTGTAGAGAAAATGGTGCATCGGCCAGTCTGGCTGGCATTTCGCACTTATAGTGCAAGTAGGGCCAAGGAGAACGGAAACGCTCGTTTCTCAAAAAGTAGAGGGAATCTAACGGTCTCACTCGATCAGAAAGTGGGAAATATATAAATCTAGTGAGCTAACAAGGTTCGAAAGGAATCTAATGCATATGTATATGGAAAATGGTGCATTGGCCAGGTCGGTCAGTATGGGAACTTGGAGTGCAAATGCCTCGGAGAACGGAACCGCTCAGATCTCGCATAATACACGGAATCTAGTGGTCTCACTCAAATATAAGGTAGGAAATTTATTCATCCAGTGAACGTAAGGGTTTGAAAGGTAACTAACGTACATGTGTAGAGAAAATGGTGCATCGGCCAGTTTGGCCGGCATTTCGCACTCATAGTGCAGGTGGGGCCAGGGAGAACGGAAACGCTCGTTTCTCAAAAAGTAGAGGGAATCTAGCGGTCTCACTCGATCAGAAGGTGGGAAATATATTTATCTAGTGAGCTAATAAGGTTTGAAATGTATTCAACGCACATGTATAGAGAAAATGGTGCATTGGCCAGGTCGGTCAGTATCGGAACTTAAAATGCAAATGCCAGGGAGAACGGAAGCGCTCGGATCTCGCATAGTACACGGAATCAAGTGGTCTCACTCAAATAGAAAGTATGAAATATATTCATCTAGTGAACGTAAGGGTTTGAAAGGTAACTAACACACATGTGTAGGGAAAATTGTGCATCGGCCAGTCTGGCCGGCATTTCGCACTTATCGTGCACCTAGGGCCAAGGAGAACGAAAACGCTCATTTCTCAAAAAGTAGAGAGAATCTAGTGGTCTCACTCGATCAGAAGGTGGGAAATATATAAATCTAGTGAGCTAATAAGGTTCGAAAGGAATCTAATGCATATGTATATGGAAAATGGTGCATTGGCCAGGTCGGTCAGAATGGGAACTTAGAGTGCAAATGCTAGGGAGAACGGAAGCGCTCAGATCTCGCATAGTACACGGAATCTAGTGGTCTCACTCAAATAGAAGGTAGGAAAAAAATTCATCTAGTGAACGTAAGGGTTCAAAAGGTAACTAACGCACATGTGTAGAGAAAATGGTGCATCGGCCATGGACATGGACGTGGACGTGGATTTGGACGTGGACGTGGACGTGGACGTGGACGTGGACGTGGAGGACTTGGACGTGGACATGGACGTGGACGTGGACGTGGACGAAGACATGGTTGAGGACGTGGACGTGGACGTGGACGTGGACATGGACGTGGACGTGGACGTGGACGTGGACATGGACGTGGACGTGGACGTGGACGTGGACGTGGACGTGGTCGTGGACGTGGACGTGGACGTGGACATGGTCGTGGACGTGGACATGGACGTGGAGGACATGGACGTGGACATGGACGTAGACGTGGACGTGGACATGGACGTGGACATAGACGTGGACGTGGACGTGAAGGACTTGGACGTGGACATGGACGTGAACGTGGACGTGGGCGTGGATGAAGACGTGGTCGTGGACGTGGACGTGGACGTGGACGTGGACGTGGACGTGGACGTGGAGGTGGACGTGGACGTGGACGTGGACGTGGACGTGGACGTGGAGTGGACGTGGACGTGGACGTGGACGTGGACCTGGTCGTGGACGTGTACGTGGACGTGGACCTGGTCGTGGACGTGGACGTGGACGTGGACATGGATGTGGTCGTGGATGTGGACGTGGACGTGGTCGTGGACGTGGACGTGGACGTGAACGTGGACATGGACGTGGACGTGGTCGTGGACGTGGACGTGGTCGTGGTCGTGGACGTGGACGTCGACTTGGACGTGGACCTGGACATGGACGTGGATGTGGACGTGGACGTGGACATGGTCGTGGACGTGGACGTGGACGTGACGTGGACGTGGACGTGGACGTGGACGTGGACGTCGACGTGGACGTGGACGTGGACGTGGACGTGGACGTGGAAGACTTGGACGTGGACATGGACGTGGACGTGGACGTGGACGTGGAGAACTTGGACGTGGACATGGACGTGAACGTGGACGTAGACGTGGACGTGGAGGACTTGGACGTGGACATGGACGTGGACGTGGACGTGGACATGGACGTGGACGTGGACATGGACGTGGACGTGGACGTGGACATGGACGTCGACGTGGACATGGACGTGGACGTGGACGTGGACGTGGACGTGGACGTGGACGTGGACGTGGAGGTGGACGTGGACGTGGACGTGGACGTGGACGTGGAGTGGACGTGGACGTGGACGTGGACGTGGACCTGGTCGTGGACGTGTACGTGGACGTGGACCTGGTCGTGGACGTGGACGTGGACATGGATGTGGTCGTGGACGTGGACGTGGACGTGGTCGTGGACGTGGACGTGGACGTGAACGTGGACATGGACGTGGACGTGGTCGTGGACGTGGACGTGGTCGTGGTCGTGGACGTGGACGTCGACTTGGACGTGGACCTGGACATGGACGTGGATGTGGACGTGGACGTGGACATGGTCGTGGACGTGGACGTGGACGTGACGTGGACGTGGACGTGGACGTGGACGTCGACGTGGACGTGGAGGACTTGGACGTGGACGTGGACGTGGACGTGGACGTGGACGTGGACGTGGAGAACTTGGACGTGGACGTGGACGTGGACGTGGAGAACTTGGACGTGGACATGGACGTGAACGTGGACGTGGACGTGGACGTGGAGGACTTGGACGTGGACATGGACGTGGACGTGGACGTGGACATGGACGTGGACGTGGACATGGACGTGGACGTGGACGTGGACATGGACGTCGACGTGGACATGGACGTGGACGTGGACGTGGACGTGGACGTGGAGAACTTGGACGTGGACATGGACGTGAACGTGGACGTGGACGTGGACGTGGAAGACTTGGACGTGGACATGGACGTGGACGTGGACGTGGACGTGGACATGGACGTGGACGTGGACGTGGACATGGAGGTGGACGTGGACGTGGACGTGGACGTGGACGTGGACGTGGACGTGGACGTGGAGGTGGACGTGGACGTGGACGTGGACGTGGACGTGGTCGTGGACGTGGACATGGACGTGGACATGGACGTGGACGTGGTTGTGGACGTGGACATGGTCGTGGACATGGACGTGGACGTGGACGTGGACGTGGATGTGGCGATGGATGTGGACGTGGACGTGAACGTAGACGTGGACGTGGACAAGGATGTGGACATGGACGTGGACGTGGACGTGGACGTGGACATGGACGTGGAGGTGGACGTGACGTGGACGTGGACGTGGACGTGGACGTGGAGGTGGACGTGACGTGGACCTGACGTGGACGTGGACGTGGACCTGACGTGGACGTGGACGTGGACGTGGACATGGACGTGGACGTGGACGGGACGTGGACGTGGACATGGACGTGGACGTGGACATAGACATGGACGTGGACGTGACGTGGACGTGGACGTGGACGTGGACGTGGACGCGGACATGGACGTGGACGTGGACGTGGACGTGGACGTGGACGTGGACGCGGACGCGGACGCGGACGCAGACGTGGACGCGGACGTGGACGCGGACATGGACGTGGACGTGGACATGGACGTGGATGTGGACGTAAGGGTTTGAAAGGTAACTAACGCACATGTGTAGAGAAAATGGTGCATTGGCCAGTCTGGCCGGCATTTCGCACTTATAGTGCAAGTAGGGCCAAGGAGAACGGAAACGCTCATTTCTCAAAAAGTAAAGGGAATCTAGCGCTTTCACTCGATCAGAAGGTGGGAAAAATATAAATATAGTGAGCTAATAAGGTTCGGAAAGAATCTAATGCATATGTATATGGAAAGTGGTGCATTGGCCAGGTCGGTCAGTATGGGAACTTAGAGTGCAAATGCCAGGGAGGACGGAAGCGCTCAGATCTCGCATAGTACACGGAATCTAGTGGTCTCACTCAAATAGAAGGTAGGAAATAAATTCATCTAGTGAACGTAATGGTTTGAAAGGTAACTAACGCAGATGTGTAGAGAAAATGGTGCATCGGCCAGTCTGGCCGGCATTTCGCACTCATAGTGCAAGTAGGGCCAAGGAGAATGGAAACGCTCATTTCTCAAGAAGTAAAGGGAATCTAGCGGTCTCACTCGATCAGAAGGTGGGAAATATATAAATCTAGTGAGCTAATAAGGTTCGGAACGAATCTAATGCATATGTATATGAAAAGTGGTGCATTGGCCAGGTCGGTCAGTATGGGAACTTAGAGTGCAAATGCCTGGGAGAACAAAACCGCTCAGATCTCGCATAATACACGGAATCTAGTGGTCTCACTCAAATATAAGGTAGGAAATATATTCATCTAGTGAACGTAAGGGTTTGAAAGGTAACTAACCCACATGTGTAGAGAAAATGGTGCATCGGCCAGTCTGGCCGGCATTTCACACTCATAGTGCAGGTGGGGCCAGGGAGAACAGAAACGCTCGTTTCTCAAAAAGGAGAGGGAATCTAACGGTCTCACTCAATCAGAAGGTGGGAAATATATAAATCTAGTCAGCTAAAAAGGTTTGAAATGTATTCAACGCACAGGTATAGAGAAAATGGTGCATTGGCCAGGTCGGTCAGTATCGGAACATAAAATGCAAATGCCAGGGAGAACGGAAGCGCTCAGATCTCGCATAGTACACGGATTCAAGTGGTCTCACCCAAATAGAAAGTAGGAAATATATTCATCTAGTGAACATAAGGGTTTGAAAGGTAACTAACGAACATGTGTAGAGAAAATTGTGCGTCGGCCAGTCTGGCCAGAATTTCGCACTTATAGTGCAACTAGGGCCAAGGAGAACGGAAACGCTCATTTCTCAAAAAGTAAAGGGAATCTAGCGGTCTCACTCGATCAGAAGGTGGGAAATATATAAATCTAGTGAGCTAATAAGGTTCGAAAGGAATCTAATGCATATGTATATGGAAAATGGTGCATTGGCCAGGTCGGTCAGTATGGGAACTTAGAGTGCAAATAACATGGACGTGGTCGTGGACGTGGACGTGGACGTGGATATGGACATGGACGTGGACATGGACGTGGACGTGGACATGGACGTTGACGTGGACATGGACGTGGACATGGACGTGGACGTGGACATGGACGTGGACGTGGACGTGGACATGGACGTAGACGTGGACGTGGACGTGGACGTGGACGTGGTCGTGGACGTGGGCGTGGACGTGGACGTGGACGTGGACATGGACGTGGAAGTGGACGTGGACGTGGACGTGGAATTGGACGTGGACATGGACGTGGACGAAGACATGGTCGTGGACGTGGACGTGGACGTAGACATGGACGTAGACGTGGACGTGAAGGTGGACATGGACGTGGACCTGGTCGTGGACGTGGACGTGGAGGAACATGGACGTGGACGTGGACGTGGACGTGGACGTGGACGTTGACGTGGACGTGGACCTGGTCGTGGACGCGGACATGGATGTGGACGTGGACATGGACGTGGACGTGGACGTGGACGTGGACATGGACGTGGACGTGGACGTGGACGTAGACGTAGATGTGGACGTGGACGTGGACATGGACATGGACGTGGACGTGGACGTGGACGTGGACGTGAACGTGTACGTGGACGTGGACGTGGACGTGGAAGTGGACGTGGATGTGGACGTGGACGTGGACGTGGAGGACTTGGACGTGGACGTGGACGTGGATGTGGACGTGGACGTGGACGACTTGGACGTGGACATGGACGTGGACATAGACGTGGACATAGACGTGGACGTGGACGTAGACATGGACGTAGACGTGGACGTGGACGTAGACGTGGACATGGACGTGGACGTGGACGTAGACGTGGACGTGGATGTGGACGTGGTCGTGGACGTGGACGTGGACGTGGACATGAAGGTGGACGTGGACGTGGACATGGACGTGGACGTGGACGTGGACGTGGACATGGTCCTGGACGTGGACGTGGACGTGGACATGGTCCTGGACGAAGACATGGACGTGGACGTAGACATGGACGTGGACGTGGACGTGGACGTGGACATGGACATGGACGTGGGCTTGTTCTAGCGTGTGCAAAAAATCAAGAACAAGGGCCTAGCGTTCGCGAAATAGCAAGAACAACGGCCTAGCGTGTGCAAAATAAAAAGAACAAGGGCCTAGCATGTGCAAAATAAAAAGAACAAGGGCATAGCGTGTGCAAAATAAAAAGAACAAGGGCATAGTGTGTGCAAAATGAAAAGAACAAGGGCCTAGCGTGTGCAAAATAAAAAGAACAAGGGCCTAGCGTGTGCAAAATTGCAAGAACAAGGGCCTAGCGTGTGCAAAATTGCAAGAACAAGGGCCTAGCGAGTGCAAAATAGCTAGAGCAAGGGCCTAGCGTGTGCAAAAAAACAAGAACAAGGGCCTAGCGTTGGCGAAGCTGCAAGAACAAGGGCCTAGCGTGTGCAAAATGAAAAGAACAAGGGTCTAGCATGTGCAAATTTGCAAGAACAAGGGCCTAGCGTGTGCAAAATCAAAAGAACAAGGGCATAGCGAGTGCAAAATAGCAAGAACATGTGTAGAGAAAATGGTGCATCGGCCAGTCTGGCCGGCATTTCGCACTTATAGTGCAAGTAGGGCCAAGGAGAACGGAAACGCTCATTTCTCAAAAAGTAAAGGGAATCTAGCGGTCTCACTCGATCAGAAGGTGGGAAATATATAAATCTAGTGAGCTAATAAGGTTCGAAAGGAATCTAATGCATATGTATATGGAAAATGGTGCATTGGCCAGGTCGGTCAGAATGGGAACTTAGAGTGCAAATGCTAGGGAGAACGGAAGCGCTCAGATCTCGCATAGTACACGGAATCTAGTGGTCTCACTCAAATAGAAGGTAGGAAATAAATTCATCTAGTGAACGTAAGGGTTCAAAAGGTAACTAACGCACATGTGTAGAGAAAATGGTGCATCGGCCATGGACATGGACGTGGACGTGGACTTGGACGTGGACGTGGACGTGGACGTGGACGTGGACGTGGACGTGGAGGACTTGGACGTGGACATGGACGTGGACGTGGACGTGGACGAAGACATGGTCGAGGACGTGGACGTGGACGTGGACGTGGACGTGGACGTGGACATGGACGTGGACGTGGACGTTGACGTGGACGTGGACGTGGACGTGGTTGTGGACGTGGACGTGGACGTGGACATGGTCGTGGACGTGGACATGGACGTGGAGGACATGGACGTGGACATGGACGTAGACGTGGACGTGGACATGGACGTGGACATAGACGTGGACGTGGACGTGAAGGACTTGGACGTGGACATGGACGTGAACGTGGACGTGGGCGTGGATGAAGACGTGGTCGTGGACGTGGACGTGGACGTGGACGTGGACGTGGACGTGGAGGTGGACGTGGACGTGGACGTGGACGTGGACGTGGAGTGGACGTGGACGTGGACGTGGACGTGGACCTGGTCGTGGACGTGTACGTGGACGTGGACCTGGTCGTGGACGTGGACGTGGACGTGGACATGGATGTGGTCGTGGATGTGGACGTGGACGTGGTCGTGGACGTGGACGTGGACGTGAACGTGGACATGGACGTGGACGTGGTCGTGGACGTGGACGTGGTCGTGGTCGTGGACGTGGACGTCGACTTGGACGTGGACCTGGACATGGACGTGGATGTGGACGTGGACGTGGACATGGTCGTGGACGTGGACGTGGACGTGACGTGGACGTGGACGTGGACGTGGACGTCGACGTGGACGTGGACGTGGACGTGGACGTGGAGGACTTGGACGTGGACATGGACGTGGACGTGGACGTGGACGTGGACGTGGAGAACTTGGACGTGGACATGGACGTGAACGTGGACGTGGACGTGGAGGACTTGGACGTGGACATGGACGTGGACGTGGACGTGGACATGGACGTGGACGTGGACATGGACGTGGACGTGGACGTGGACATGGACGTCGACGTGGACATGGACGTGGACGTGGACGTGGACGTGGACGTGGACGTGGACGTGGAGGTGGACGTGGACGTGGACGTGGACGTGGACGTGGACGTGGAGTGGACGTGGACGTGGACGTGGACGTGGACCTGGTCGTGGACGTGTACGTGGACGTGGACCTGGTCGTGGACGTGGACGTGGACGTGGACATGGATGTGGTCGTGGACGTGGACGTGGACGTGGTCGTGGACGTGGACGTGGACGTGAACGTGGACATGGACGTGGACGTGGTCGTGGACGTGGACGTGGTCGTGGTCGTGGACGTGGACGTCGACTTGGACGTGGACCTGGACATGGACGTGGATGTGGACGTGGACGTGGACATGGTCGTGGACGTGGACGTGGACGTGACGTGGACGTGGACGTGGACGTGGACGTCGACGTGGACGTGGACGTGGACGTGGACGTGGAGGACTTGGACGTGGACATGGACGTGGACGTGGACGTGGACGAAGACATGGTCGAGGACGTGGACGTGGACGTGGACGTGGACATGGACGTGGACGTGGACGTGGACGTGGACATGGACGTGGACGTGGACGTGGACGTGGACGTGGACGTGGACGTGGTCGTGGACGTGGACGTGGACGTGGACATGGTCGTGGACGTGGACATGGACGTGGACGACATGGACGTGGACATGGACGTAGACGTGGACGTGGACATGGACGTGGACATAGACGTGGACGTGGACGTGAAGGACTTGGACGTGGACATGGACGTGAACGTGGACGTGGGCGTGGATGAAGACGTGGTCGTGGACGTGGACGTGGACGTGGACGTGGACGTGGACGTGGAGGTGGACGTGGACGTGGACGTGGACGTGGACGTGGACGTGGAGTGGACGTGGACGTGGACGTGGACGTGGACCTGGTCGTGGACGTGTACGTGGACGTGGACCTGGTCGTGGACGTGGACGTGGACGTGGACATGGATGTGGTCGTGGATGTGGACGTGGACGTGGTCGTGGACGTGGACGTGGACGTGAACGTGGACATGGACGTGGACGTGGTCGTGGACGTGGACGTGGTCGTGGTCGTGGACGTGGACGTCGACTTGGACGTGGACCTGGACATGGACGTGGATGTGGACGTGGACGTGGACATGGTCGTGGACGTGGACGTGGACGTGACGTGGACGTGGACGTGGACGTGGACGTGGACGTCGACGTGGACGTGGACGTGGACGTGGACGTGGACGTGGAGGACTTGGACGTGGACATGGACGTGGACGTGGACGTGGACGTGGACGTGGAGAACTTGGACGTGGACATGGACGTGAACGTGGACGTGGACGTGGACGTGGAGGACTTGGACGTGGACATGGACGTGGACGTGGACGTGGACATGGACGTGGACGTGGACATGGACGTGGACGTGGACGTGGACATGGACGTCGACGTGGACATGGACGTGGACGTGGACGTGGACGTGGACGTGGACGTGGACGTGGACGTGGAGGTGGACGTGGACGTGGACGTGGACGTGGACGTGGACGTGGAGTGGACGTGGACGTGGACGTGGACGTGGACCTGGTCGTGGACGTGTACGTGGACGTGGACCTGGTCGTGGACGTGGACGTGGACGTGGACATGGATGTGGTCGTGGACGTGGACGTGGACGTGGTCGTGGACGTGGACGTGGACGTGAACGTGGACATGGTCGTGGACGTGGTCGTGGACGTGGACGTGGTCGTGGTCGTGGACGTGGACGTCGACTTGGACGTGGACCTGGACATGGACGTGGATGTGGACGTGGACGTGGACATGGTCGTGGACGTGGACGTGGACGTGACGTGGACGTGGACGTGGACGTGGACGTCGACGTGGACGTGGAGGACTTGGACGTGGACGTGGACGTGGACGTGGACGTGGACGTGGACGTGGACGTGGACGTGGAGAACTTGGACGTGGACGTGGACGTGGAGAACTTGGACGTGGACATGGACGTGAACGTGGACGTGGACGTGGACGTGGAGGACTTGGACGTGGACATGGACGTGGACGTGGACGTGGACATGGACGTGGACGTGGACATGGACGTGGACGTGGACGTGGACATGGACGTCGACGTGGACATGGACGTGGACGTGGACGTGGACGTGGACGTGGAGAACTTGGACGTGGACATGGACGTGAACGTGGACGTGGACGTGGACGTGGAGGACTTGGACGTGGACATGGACGTGGACGTGGACGTGGACGTGGACATGGACGTGGACGTGGACGTGGACATGGAGGTGGACGTGGACGTGGACGTGGACGTGGACGTGGACGTGGACGTGGACGTGGACGTGGACGTGGTCGTGGACGTGGACATGGACGTGGACATGGACGTGGACGTGGTTGTGGACGTGGACATGGTCGTGGACATGGACGTGGACGTGGACGTGGACGTGGATGTGGCGATGGATGTGGACGTGGACGTGAACGTAGACGTGGACGTGGACAAGGATGTGGACATGGACGTGGACGTGGACGTGGACGTGGACATGGACGTGGAGGTGGACGTGACGTGGACGTGGACGTGGACGTGGACGTGGACGTGGACGTGACGTGGACCTGACGTGGACGTGGACGTGGACCTGACGTGGACGTGGACGTGGACGTGGACATGGACGTGGACGTGGACGGGACGTGGACGTGGACATGGACGTGGACGTGGACATAGACATGGACGTGGACGTGACGTGGACGTGGACGTGGACGTGGACGTGGACGCGGACATGGACGTGGACGTGGACGTGGACGTGGACGTGGACGTGGACGCGGACGCGGACGTGGACGCGGACGTGGACGCGGACATGGACGTGGACGTGGACATGGACGTGGATGTGGACGTAAGGGTTTGAAAGGTAACTAACGCACATGTGTAGAGAAAATGGTGCATCGGCCAGTCTGGCCGGCATTTCGCACTTATAGTGCAAGTAGGGCCAAGGAGAACGGAAACGCTCATTTCTCAAAAAGTAAAGGGAATCTAGCGCTTTCACTCGATCAGAAGGTGGGAAATATATAAATATAGTGAGCTAATAAGGTTCGGAAAGAATCTAATGCATATGTATATGGAAAGTGGTGCATTGGCCAGGTCGGTCAGTATGGGAACTTAGAGTGCAAATGCCAGGGAGGACGGAAGCGCTCAGATCTCGCATAGTACACGGAATCTAGTGGTCTCACTCAAATAGAAGGTAGGAAATAAATTCATCTAGTGAACGTAATGGTTTGAAAGGTAACTAACGCAGATGTGTAGAGAAAATGGTGCATCGGCCAGTCTGGCCGGCATTTCGCACTCATAGTGCAAGTAGGGCCAAGGAGAATGGAAACGCTCATTTCTCAAGAAGTAAAGGGAATCTAGCGGTCTCACTCGATCAGAAGGTGGGAAATATATAAATCTAGTGAGCTAATAAGGTTCGGAACGAATCTAATGCATATGTATATGAAAAGTGGTGCATTGGCCAGGTCGGTCAGTATGGGAACTTAGAGTGCAAATGCCTGGGAGAACAAAACCGCTCAGATCTCGCATAATACACGGAATCTAGTGGTCTCACTCAAATATAAGGTAGGAAATATATTCATCTAGTGAACGTAAGGGTTTGAAAGGTAACAAACCCACATGTGTAGAGAAAATGGTGCATCGGCCAGTCTGGCCGGCATTTCACACTCATAGTGCAGGTGGGGCCAGGGAGAACAGAAACGCTCGTTTCTCAAAAAGGAGAGGGAATCTAACGGTCTCACTCAATCAGAAGGTGGGAAATATATAAATCTAGTCAGCTAAAAAGGTTTGAAATGTATTCAACGCACAGGTATAGAGAAAATGGTGCATTGGCCAGGTCGGTCAGTATCGGAACATAAAATGCAAATGCCAGGGAGAACGGAAGCGCTCAGATCTCGCATAGTACACGGATTCAAGTGGTCTCACCCAAATAGAAAGTAGGAAATATATTCATCTAGTGAACATAAGGGTTTGAAAGGTAACTAACGAACATGTGTAGAGAAAATTGTGCGTCGGCCAGTCTGGCCAGAATTTCGCACTTATAGTGCAACTAGGGCCAAGGAGAACGGAAACGCTCATTTCTCAAAAAGTAAAGGGAATCTAGCGGTCTCACTCGATCAGAAGGTGGGAACTATATAAATCTAGTGAGCTAATAAGGTTCGAAAGGAATCTAATGCATATGTATATGGAAAATGGTGCATTGGCCAGGTCGGTCAGTATGGGAACTTAGAGTGCAAATAACATGGACGTGGTCGTGAACGTGGACGTGGATATGGACATGGACGTGGACATGGACGTGGACGTGGACATGGACGTTGACGTGGACATGGACGTGGACATGGACGTGGACGTGGACATGGACGTGGACGTGGACGTGGACATGGACGTAGACGTGGACGTGGACGTGGACGTGGACGTGGTCGTGGACGTGGGCGTGGACGTGGACGTGGACGTGGACATGGACGTGGAAGTGGACGTGGACGTGGACGTGGAATTGGACGTGGACATGGACGTGGACGAAGACATGGTCGTGGACGTGGACGTGGACGTAGACATGGACGTAGACGTGGACGTGAAGGTGGACATGGACGTGGACCTGGTCGTGGACGTGGACGTGGAGGAACATGGACGTGGACGTGGACGTGGACGTGGACGTGGACGTTGACGTGGACGTGGACCTGGTCGTGGACGCGGACATGGATGTGGACGTGGACATGGACGTGGACGTGGACGTGGACGTGGACGTGGACATGGACGTGGACGTGGACGTGGACGTAGACGTAGATGTGGACGTGGACGTGGACATGGACATGGACGTGGACGTGGACGTGGACGTGGACGTGAACGTGTACGTGGACGTGGACGTGGACGTGGAAGTGGACGTGGACGTGGACGTGGACGTGGACGTGGAGGACTTGGACGTGGACGTGGACGTGGATGTGGACGTGGACGTGGACGACTTGGACGTGGACATGGACGTGGACATAGACGTGGACATAGACGTGGACGTGGACGTAGACATGGACGTAGACGTGGACGTGGACGTAGACGTGGACATGGACGTGGACGTGGACGTAGACGTGGACGTGGATGTGGACGTGGTCGTGGACGTGGACGTGGACGTGGACATGAAGGTGGACGTGGACGTGGACATGGACGTGGACGTGGACGTGGACGTGGACATGGTCCTGGACGTGGACGTGGACGTGGACATGGTCCTGGACGAAGACATGGACGTGGACGTAGACATGGACGTGGACGTGGACGTGGACGTGGACATGGACATGGACGTGGGCTTGTTCTAGCGTGTGCAAAAAATCAAGAACAAGGGCCTAGCGTTCGCGAGATAGCAAGAACAAGGGCCTAGCGTGTGCAAAATAAAAAGAACAAGGGCCTAGCATGTGCAAAATAAAAAGAACAAGGGCATAGCGTGTGCAAAATAAAAAGAACAAGGGCATAGTGTGTGCAAAATGAAAAGAACAAGGGCCTAGCGTGTGCAAAATAAAAAGAACAAGGGCCTAGCGTGTGCAAAATTGCAAGAACAAGGGCCTAACGTGTGCAAAATTGCAAGAACAAGGGCCTAGCGAGTGCAAAATAGCTAGAGCAAGGGCCTAGCGTGTGCAAAAAAACAAGAACAAGGGCCTAGCGTTGGCGAAGCTGCAAGAACAAGGGCCTAGCGTGTGCAAAATGAAAAGAACAAGGGTCTAGCATGTGCAAATTTGCAAGAACAAGGGCCTAGCGTGTGCAAAATCAAAAGAACAAGGGCATAGCGAGTGCAAAATAGCAAGAACAAGGGCCTAGCGTGTGCAAAATAAAAAGAACAAGGGCCTAGCGTGTGCAAAATAGCAAGAACAAGGGCCTAGCATGTGCAAAATTGCAAGAACAAGGGCCTAGCGTGTGCAAAATTGCAAGAACAAGGGCCTAGCGAGTGCAAAATAGCAAGAGCAAGGGCCTAGCGTGTGCAAAATAAAAAGAACAAGGGCATAGCGTGTGCAAAATAGCAAGAACAAAGGCCTAGCGTGTGCAAAATAAAAAGAACGAGGGCCTAGCGTGTGCAAAATAAAAAGAACAAGGGCCTAGCGTATGCAAAATTGCAAGAACAAGGGCCTAACGGGTGCAAAGTTGCAAGAACAAGGGCATAGCGTGTGCAAAGTAGCAAGAACAAGGGCCTAGCATGTGCAAAATAAAAAGAACTAGGGCCTAGCGTGTGCAAAATAAAAAGAACAAGGGCCTAGCGTGTGCAAAATTGCAAGAACAAGGGCCTAGCGTGTGCAAAGTTGCAAGAACAAGGGCCTAGCGTGTGCAAACCATCAAGAACAAGGGCCTAGCGTTCGCGAAATAGCAAGAGCAAGGGCCTAGCGTGTGCAAAATAAAAAGAACAAGGGTCTAGCATGTGCAACATAGCAAGAACAAGGGCCTAGCGTGTGCAAAATAAAAAGAACAAGGGCATAACGTGTGCAAAATAGCAAGAACAAGAGCCTAGCGTTCGCGAAATAGCAAGAACAAGGGCCTAGCATGTGCATAATAAAAAGAACAAGGGTCTAGCATGTGCAAAATTGCAAGAACAAGGGCCTAGCGTGTTCAAAATAAAAAGAACAAGGGCATAGCATGTGCAAAATTGCAAGAACAAGGGCCTAGCGTGTGCAAAATAAAAAGAACAAGGGTCTAGCATATGCAAAATTGCAAGAACAAGGGCCTAGCGTGTACAAAATAAAAAGATCAAGGGCATAGCGTGTGCAAGATTGCAAGAACAAGGGCCTAGTTTGTGCAAAATAAAAAGAACACGGGCCTAGCGTGTGCAAAATAAAACGAAGAAGGGCCTAGCGTGTGCAAAATTGCAAGAACAAGGGCCTAGCGTGTGCACAAAATCAAGAACAAGGGCCTAGCGTTCGCGAAATAGCAAAAACAAGGGCCTGGCGTGTGCAAAATAAAAAGAACAAGGGCCTAGCGTGTGCAAAATAAAAAGGACAAGGGCCTAGCGTTTGCAAAATTGCAAGAACAAGGGCCTAGCATGTGCAAAATTGCAAGAACAAAGGCTTAGCGAGTGCAAAATAGCAAGAGCAAGGGCCTAGCGTGTGCAAAAAATCAAGAACAAGGGCCTAGCGTTCGCGAAATAGCAAGAACAAGGGCCTAGCGTGTGCAAAATAAAAAGAACAAGGGTCTAGCATGTGCAAAATTGCAAGAACAAGGGCCTAGCGTGTGCAAAATAAAAAGAACATGGGCCTAGCGTGTGCAAAATAGCAAGAACAAGGGCCTAGCGTGTGCAAAATTGCAAGAACAAGGGCCTAGCGTGTGCAAAATTGCAAGAACAAGGGCCTAGCGAGTGCAAAATAGCAAGAGCAAGGGCCTAGCGTGTGCAAAAAATCAAGAACAAGGGCCTAGCGTTCGCAAAATAGCAAGAACAAGGGCCTAGCGTGTGCAAAATAAAAAGAACAAGGGTCTAGCATGTGCAAAATTGCAAGAACAAGGGCCTAGCGTGTGCAAAATAAAAAGAACAAGGGCATAGCGTGTGCAAAATAGCAAGAACAAGGGCCTAGCATGTGCAAAATATAAGAACAAGGGCCTAGCGTGTGCAAAATAAAAAGAAAAAGGGCCTAGCGTGTGCAAAATTGCAAGAACAAGGGCCTAGCATGTGCAAAATATAAGAACATGGGCCTAGCGTGTGCAAAATAGCAAGAACAAGGGCCTAGCGTGTGCAAAATTGCAAGAACAAGGGCCTAGCGTGTGCAAAATAAAAAGAACAAGGGCCTAGCGTGTGCAAAATAGCAAGAGCAAGGGCCTAGCGTGTGCAAAAAATCAAGAAAAAGGGCCTAGCGTTCGCGAAATAGCAAGAACAAGGGCCTAGCGTGTGCAAAATAAAAAGAACAAGGGTCTAGCATGTGCAAAATTGCAAGAACAAGGGCCTAGCGTGTGCAAAATAAAAAGAACAAGGGCATAGCGTGTGCAAAATAGCAAGAACAAGGGCCTAGCATGTGCAAAATATAAGAACAAGGGCCTAGCGTGTGCAAAATAAAAAGAAAAAGGGCCTAGCGTGTGCAAAATTGCAAGAACAAGGGCCTAGCATGTGCAAAATATAAGAACAAGGGCCTAGCGTGTGCAAAATAAAAAGAACAAGGGCCTAGCGTGTGCAAAATTGCAAGAGCAAGGGCCTAGCGTGTGCAAAATGAAAAGAACAAAGGCATAGCGTGTGCAAAATAGCAAGAACAAGGGCCTAGCATGTGCAAAATATAAGAACAAGGGCCTAGCGTGTGCAAAAAATCAAGAACAAGGGCCTAGCGTTCGCGAAGCTGCAAAAACAAGGGCCTAGCGTGTGCAAAATGAAAAGAACAAGGGTCTAGCATGTGCAAATTTGCAAGAACAAGGGCCTAGCGTGTGCAAAATAAAAAGAACAAGGGCATAGCGTGTGCAAAATAGCAAGAACAAGGGCCTAGCGTGTGCAAAATAAAAAGAACAAGGGCCTAGCGTGTGCAAAAGTGCAAGAACAAGGGCCTAGCATGTGCAAAATATATGAACAAGGGCCTAGCGTGTGCAAAATAAAAAGAACAAGGGCCTAGCGTGTGCAAAATTGCAACAGCAAGGGCCTAGCGTGTGCAAAATAAAAATAACAAGGGTCTAGCATGTGCAAAATTGCAAGAACAAGGGCCTAGCGTGTGCAAAATAAAAAGAACAAGGGCATAGCGTGTGCAAAATAGCTAGAACAAGGGCCTAGCGTGTGCAAAATAAAAAAAACAAGGGCCTAGCGTGTGCAAAATAGCAAGAACAAGGGCCTAGCGTGTGCAAAATTGCAAGCACAAGGGCCTAGCGTGTGCAGAATTGCAAGAACAAGGGCCTAGCGAGTGCAAAATAGCAGAAGCAAGGGCCTAGCGTGTGCAAAAAAACAAGAACAAGGGCCTAGCGTTCGCGAAATAGCAATGACAAGGGCCTAGCGTGTGCAAAATAAAAAGAACAAGGGTCTAGCATGTGCAAAATTGCAAGAACAAGGGCCTAGCGTGTGCAAAATAAAAAGAACAAGGGCATAGCGTGTGCAAAATAGCAAGAACAAGGGCCTAGCATGTGTAAAATATAAGAACAAGGGCCTAGCGTGTGCAAAATAAAAAGAACAAGGGCTTAGCGTGTGCAAAATTGCAAGAACAAGGGCCTAGCGTGTGCAAAATTGCAAGAACAAGGGCCTAGCAAGTGCAAAATAGCAAGAGCAAGGGCCTAGCGTGTGCAAAAAAAAAAGAACAAGGGCCTTGTGTTCGCGAAATAGCAAGAAAAAGGGCCTAGCGTGTGCAAAATAAAAAGAACAAGGGTCTAACATGTGCAAGATTGCAAGAACAAGGGCCTAGCGTGTGCAAAATAAAAAGAACAAGGGCATAGTGTGTGCAAAATAAAAAGAACAAGGGCCTAGCGTGTGCAAAATAAAAAGAACATGGGCCTAGCGTGTGCAAAATTGCAAGAACAAGGGCCTAGCGTGTGCAAAATTGCAAGAACAAGGGCCTAGCGAGTGCAAAATAGCAAGAGCAAGGGCCTAGCGTGTGCAAAAAATCAAGAACAACGGCCTAGCGTGTGCAAGATTGCAAGAACAAGGGCCTAACGTGTGCAAAATTGCAAGAACAAGGGCCTAGCGAGTGCAAAATAGCAAGAGCAAGGGCCTAGTGTGTGCAAAAAATCAAGAACAAGGGCCTAGCGTCCGCGAAATAGCATGAACAAGGGCCTAGCGTGTGCAAAATAAAACGAACATAGGCCTAGCATGTGCAAAATTGCAAGAACAGGGGCCTAGCATGTGCAAAATAAAAAGAACAAGGGCATAGCGTGTGCAAAATGAAAGAACAATGGCATAGCGTGTGCAAAATAAAAAGAACAAGGGCCTAGCGTGTCCAAAATAAAAAGAACAAGGGCCTAGCGTGTGCAAAATTGCAAGAACAAGGGCCTAGTGTGTGCAAATTGCAAGAACAAGGGCCTAGCGTGTGCAAAATAAAAAGAACAAGGGCCTAGCGTGTGCAAAATTGCAAGAACAAGGGCCTAGTGTGTGCAAAATTGCAAGAACAAGGGCCTAGCGAGTGCAAAATAGCAAGAGCAAGGGCCTAGCGTGTGCAAAAAATCAAGAACAAGGGCCTAGCGTTCGCGAAGCTGCAAAAACAAGGGCCTAGCGTGTGCAAAATGAAAAGAACAAGGGTCTAGCATGTGCAAATTTGCAAGAACAAGGGCCTAGCGTGTGCAAAATAAAAAGAACAAGGGCATAGCGTGTGCAAAATAGCAAGAACAAGGGCCTAGCGTGTGCAAAATAAAAAGAACAAGGGCCTAGCGTGTGCAAAATAAAAAGAACAAGGGCCTAGCGTTTGCAAAATTGCAAGAACAAGGGCCTAGCATGTGCAAAATTGCAAGAACAAGGGCTTAGCGAGTGCAAAATAGCAAGAGCAAGGGCCTAGCGTGTGCAAAATAAAAAGAACAAGGGCCTAGCGTTCGCGAAATAGCAACAACAAGGGCCTAGCGTGTGCAAAAAAAAAAAAGCAAGGGTCTAGCATATGCAAAATTGCAAGAACAAGGGCCTAGCGTGTGCAAAATAAAAAGAACAAGGGCCTAGCGTGTGCAAAATAGCAAGAACAAGGGCCTAGCATGT